AACTATATTCTTAAAATTTCTATAAATGGGCATACTAATCCAAAAAGCCTTCTAGGAATTTATCTTTAGAGTTACAAATAAAGGTCTCATTGGCAAGGTAAAATTAAAACTTGTATTTATTCAGAAATTCCAAAATGTATTAGTTGTACATGTGTTTTACAAATCTGAATTCTTTTCCTTATACTACTTTAAGAAGTGCTTAAAAATACTGGTATAGTGTTAGTCAAAATATTATTAAAAATCCAGGTGAGAGTTCTTTGAGATCAGTTTTAAAACAGCGAGTACGCAATGAGGTGTTTATCTGAAGAATTTTTCTCGCCATCTGTAATTTTTCACACTTTTGAGATTTTCCAAGATTTACTTTTTTCTCTCTTGAGAGTAGCAAATACTATAACATATTGAAAAAGGTTGCTAAAACATCACAAATATGCCACCAACTTCATTTATAACAAATTGATTCATTATTCACTTTTCCTAAATTAAACACACAAAGCAATGGTTAAAAAGGGATTTTTAGGTCGTCCTCGGGCTTGTCTTTTGGTTCAGCCAGTGGGAGGTGCCCACAGGGGACTGGAGGTGGGTAGAGAGTTGGTGGGGGAATGAATGTATTCCCCTGGTTCCTTCTTAGCCACATCTCGCACATTGCTGCATCCTTCCATCAAAAACAGCTACAACCACCTGCTCTGAGTTTTGGTAACGGCTCAATCACCTGGTTCTTTCAGGACTAAGAACAGGATGGCTCCCCGGGGCTTCTAGTGTCAGGCTCCTGTACTATCCCTTAACCTTGCCACCACTTCTGTAAATAATCTACGTTAAACTCTCCTCAGCCTCCCAGGATGAGTGTGCCATCTGTTTCCTGTCAGGACCTAGATAAAAGGGGTTTATTTAGACTTCAGCAATGGGAAATGGAGATGGGCAAATACATACATGATGAAATTAAAAACAAATAGCTGAAATGGATATCCTGATCAGAGAGTAAATGTTGTATCTCTAGCCTCAGTCCAGTGCACAACAAACAGGAGAAGTTTTCTAAAGGTCAATAATGTTGTGGAAACTAAGCTCGAAGTTACTCTACTTCCAATGCTACCTTGAAAAATACAATCATTACCAATCATTCATTTTCATGTGATCAAGCAAAACATTAGTTAAAGATAGTGGAAAATAATTATTATAAATACACGGGGATTAAATGAAAGATGTCTGCATGGGATAAATGGAACAGAGTTTGAGAGACTTAAGTCTTTTGTCTCTAGTCCTTTGTACCAAAGGCTACCTGCCACTCCCCAGACTGGTTAGCTCCTGTCCATTCCTTAAGGCCTCAGCTTAGGAATCAGTTTCTCAAGGCCAAACAGCTAGCCAGGACTTAAACCAGGTCTGCTAACTTGAAATTCTCTATTAAATCGTGCTTCTATTTACATATACACAGTAATGCTATTACCACGAAGAACCTTACACTGTTGCACTTTTTGCCAAGTGTGGGCAAGATTTTTTTTTTTTTAAAGATTAAGCTTCATGGAACTTATTTTTAGGAGCTTTCTTCCAGTAGTGTATAATGGTCTAATGTATATTCTTCTCAAACCATAAATATTATTTAAGATAAGATAATCTCTAATCATAAAAGTGTCAGGTTTTTGTCCAGTTTTAGACTTCTCATAACAGAATACAGCAATTTCATTTCTACATGAAGTGCTGACATATTATCAAAGCAGTGATGTTTCTTTCAAGAAATAAGATGAAATTTATTTATTGTTCCCTTTGAAAAATGTCTTAATAGTGTTATATTATGTTGATTTTCAAACCTCATTTCACTAATACCAATTTCTATCTGAAAAATGCTTAATGTCAAACAATTTAGAGCCAATTCTGAAATATTAGGCAAGTTGAAAAATCGCAGGTGAGGACAAAAGATCTGTGATTACAATGTCAGAAGCTTGGTGAAAAACTGCCTAAATTTGATTGTCTGCATAAATTTCCATCCCTTAAAGGTTCCACATTTCTGCAGTGCTAAGCTTACCACAAAGTGATTTTCATGAATGTTTCAGATTCAGAGGAATGAACCTTGTCTAAAATGCTTCTTTCAATGATGAAAATGCATTCTTTCATAATTAGAATCAAGAAATGTTTTCTAACTTGATACAAATAATTAAACTCAGGCCTTAAAAAGTCAATTTCATTCTCCACAGCTTTGTTTTATGAGATTTCCTAGGTAACCGATGCTTAGAAGAGGCAGTCTTTCTGTCCATCTGCTGTAACTCCTCACACGATGGGTGTTCTCTTCATTGCTGTGTTTCATTTGGGTAAAAACAAGATCCCACTGCTCTAATACATTTTCACCATTTTTACATTACTAGGTAATATACTAGGAAGGTAATAATTTTTAAAGAGCCCAAATGACCTAGAAATAGAATATATAAAACATATTATTATTAAGCATACAAAGTAATCAATGAAAATGACTGTGGATGCAGACTAAAACGTGAACAGCGGTTGTCTCGCTGTGACACGATTATGGGGGGCATTGTGTTCTTTATTTTGCAAGTGGTCTTCAATGAATATATATTATTACTAATTAAATAAAGATAAAGCATTCATAGCTATCTATAAAATAGGAATCAGAATACAAAAACGGTATGCTGTGATTATAACCTTGTAAAGGCATACACTTAATGGACAAAAATTAACGTTAACAGAGAAGAGAAAACAGCTCATTTGTAGGGTGTTGGAATGGTGGATGTTTTTTTTCTCTTAGTGTCAAACTGTTCTTTGGGGCGAAAATGGAGGGATTATAGAAAGGGAGCAAGATAATGCTAAAGCAAACTCACCAGGAGAATTGGAAGATAGGACATTGAACTTGGTGGACAGAAAGATCAGCAAATGCCCACAATATGCACAGCACAGGACCCAAGAAACCGTTCACTGATGGTGATTTGGTTTCTTTTTCTTGTCATTTATGGGAGCATGAACAGAAAGACATGAAAGAGATATGGAGCTGAAGAATAAACTGCTGAAGCCATTTTCCTCTACTCTAAATGAGTGGATGTATTAAGCAGGCAAACATTGGAAATGGGGACAATCTGGCCCTGTTTTGCTACTAACCAGGTATCTGGTAGGAGGTGTGGAACACGAAGTTCTGGGGACATGATTCAGAGTACCTGGCTCTAGAGAGAAATCACGGTCAAGTAGACTCTAGAGCTGGGTAGAACTCCGGCTATCTGAAATCCTTTGAGTGTAAGTTATTTTTGTTAACCAAGTTTTCCTAACGTCTGGAGCTTTGTCTTTTTAAAGTTTTTTTTTAAAAAAAACACGTAGGAAGGAAATATCTCCAAAATTTATCTTTTTAAAAGGAGACAATTCAGTTTACTTAACCTTTCTTTTAATGCCCCAGGGTTAACATTACCCATACTGATGACTGTGTCATTAAGAGTCTATTGAAGTGTATATGGCTCTTTTCCTCTACATTTTTTTTTTTGGTTCAGGATAACTGAATTTTTCTGTGGTTTGTTTTGGCTCTTTTGTGTATATATATATTTAAGGAACAGGTACTGAGAGCTCACAGTAAAACACAGAAATTTTAGTATACAGACTTCGAAACATCAGTTTCTGTCTTGTTTCCTGGTTCTTATCTGTAGTTCAGCCAGATGCAGCTGCGAGACAGGCGAGACACAGCTAAGTGAGGGTTCACTGGATAAGATGACTTGACGATTGTTTCCTAGTAAATATCACTATTTCATTTTCTCTTTGTTCACTGAGTTACCTTTGGTCATCAGCTCCATTTTGGCTGCTGTTCAAGACAATTCTCCAAAGGTCCGAGGACACCAGTTTCTTCTGGTCATTCACAAGATTGACATCTGGCAACTGCAGTTCACAAACTTTGCTTTCAGACAGGCTAAATTCTCGAAATGCAACAAAAACCTTCTGGAGTTCATCCCAGTATTCCAAACTACAGGGAATCTGTAGTAGAAGAAAGAAGATTTTAGGAGCTGCAGACAGAAACTATGCTTCTGTATTTGTTGACATGCAAATTGAATCTTCATAAAAGTTATAACATTAATGAGACTTTTTAAAAGAGAATACAGTTGTAAAGGACAGTAGTTTAGGGTTTCTCCTCATAGTTATTGTCATCCTGTTTACCTACTTTATTTTAAAAGAACCATTCAAGAATAATATGTGAAAATAGCCAAGTTTTTGAAAAGAAATTTTTTAAGTAAGAGAAAAAATGGGAAAAAAAATTCTACAAGATATGAAGTATTTTATAAAGCTAAAGTAATTAAAAGATAAGGTGGAAGTAGTTAACATAAAAATAGAAGAAAAAAATTATAAAACACAAGTAGATACACTGTAGCATGTTAATAGAGGTACCATTTCAAATAAGCAGGGGAAGGATGGGAAATGAGGTTGCAGAACTAGTTAGCCATTTGGCAAAACCTAAGTGGGTCCCTACATCATTCTTACATGAAAGTAAATTCCAAAAGAATCAAAATGTTAAAAACTGAAAGCATAAGAGAAAAAAAATCAGTTAATATTTTTATCGTAATAGGGTAGCCTTTTTTATGTATGGCATGAAACCCATGGATGGGAAAAAATCCCACACATCATAAAATCAAATTTTAAAAAAAGCAAACTAGGATAAAACAAGTAATATTTGATGATGGATCTAGGAACACTTTTGAAAGCAGAGCACTTTTAGAAATCAGTGAGAAAATGTTAAGTAAGCATATAGAAAAATAAGCAAAGGTTGTCGTTGGAACCCTTGAATGATCTTCCATGTTCTTGCCAAGTGTGCAAAAGATGCAAGGCCATGAAAGCTATTACTTGGGGCCACTTCTCAGGTTGTGTTTGCAGAGAGCAACCTTGAGCGATAAGGTCAAGCCTCTTTCCCGGACAAAGAGCAGACTTGCTCTAAAAGTTAAGGTGGATTTGACAAGCTCTATGTTCCCTGCAGTGCCACTGATCTCCTGCATGCAGAGCATCCCCCTGGGGCCCTTCTGCATTGCCCTCATGGGATTTGGGAGCAAGAGGAACCAATGCGATCGTGATGCACATAGCACTTGCTGTGCTACAAGCAATAATGTTCTTTGTTTCTGACCCAAAAGTCTCGTCTTCTGTCAGCATCCATAAACATTACTAGGCTAATTTATTAGTATGCATGAGGTAAAATCCCAGATTCTGACAGCAATTAGTTCACAGAAGGAAAGACATAACCAGCCAGTACACATGTAAAGATACTCAACTTCATTAATACTTATAGAAATTCAAGTTGAAGCAATAATGCAATATTTTTATTTATTAATCTGGCAGTTTTAAAAACCTAACAGTTCCAATTTCTGTACAGATGTGGGAAAATGCATTTCTTCTTAATATTTTTGGAGAGAAACTTGGCAATATCTATTAAATGCTTGGAAGAATACATCTATGAAATTGCTTTACAGATCTTCTAATGCAAGAGTGTGTGTGTTGCATGGTGTGTATTTACTTCAGTACTACATATATTGGTAAGAAATTGGAAACAACTCAAATATACATCAGTAAGGGTTTAGTTAAATATAACATGTAGATTTACAGAACTGATTACTGTACAACCATCAAAATGAATAAGGAATAGCTACACATACTAACACAAAAGACATCCAAGATGTATTATTAAACTAAAAAAATTAAGCTTCAAAATAGAATATATGGGCTAATTCCATTTGTCTTAAAAGAAAAAAAAGACTGGGGTCAGCTATGTCTCCTCTTTTGGAAGCATTTCCTAACTATTATCACCCTCGGAGTTGATCACTACCTCTCTCGTGTCACTTTCATATCTAACACATTCCTCTATCATAGAAGTCATTACACTTTGCAATTCCTTATTTACATGTACATCTTCTTTAGTTGACTCTGTGATTCTTGGGGCAAAAATGGCACATTATTTTAAAAAATATTAGCATCTAACACAGTTTTGGGAACACAACAGGATATTAATGAAAGCTTCCTGAATGAACAGAGTTCTCCTTAACCTTTCCTTCCTGAATAAGTGATTCTCAGTCTTTCAATGGAAATACTATTTCTTGAAATCCTCCCTCTCCTTGCTTTCCATGACATTTTTTTCCCTAACTTTCCCCTCTCTGGGTCTTTGTTCCTATATTATCTCCCAGCCAGAAATACCTGTAGACTCCCTAGTTTTTCAATGTCTGATGTTTAAATCTTTCCCATCTATCAAGGTCCAAATGAAATACCACCTTTATTTGAGCCTTTACACCTCCCAGATGGAGACATGCTTTCCCTTTTCTGAACTCCAATAGTTTTTAAAAATGGGAATCTGTTTCATAGCTCTTATCACTATACAACTCATGTTACAGTTATTTCTATACATGACATCTTCCCCGGTAGACACATTCTTTGAGAGAATGATTTCCATTTGGCTAAGCTTTGGATTTCCATAGCACCTGGCCAAGTGTATATAGTGAATGTTCAAAAAAAAAAGTTGCTGAATGAAGGAATGAATAATTCATGAGTGAATGAACAAATATACACATCCTGGGTGATTCACTCTATCTCTGGCACACTAAAAATTCTCCACAAAGTAGTATAGAAGTTTAAAACATAAACTTTGGCTTCCTGATGGCATTCAATTCCTAGCTCCATTAGTTATGAGCTCCTGGGCACATTAGTTTCCCTAACATCAGTACCAATATATCTCTAAAAAGGGGATAGTAGCAGAACTCTCTCACAAATTGTCATGAGGAATAAATGAGGTACAGCATCCCGTTTAATACTATACAGCAAAAGCTTAAGAAATGTTAGCTACTAATTAGTCATCCTTCTTATGCTCAAAGAACACTTCTGACGCTTGGGTGTCGTTAAAAGAATCATGTAGGTTGTGAACAAGAGTCTTGCTTGTTGGATTTCCTAACCATGGGTTGGACTTGTGGGAAGAAAATAATAAACCTTGAATCTGGATGTTCAAGAACACTGTAATCATAGTTCAATATGGTTTTCTGCTGCATATCTATTAAAATATGTCCCTGTATGTTGGCTATTACTTGAGACATAAAGAAATATCTCCTTGCTTAACTCCTCTCTAGACTGCCAGTAAGTCAGCCCTTCAGCTTAGGAAAGTCATAAGCAGAAATGGATAAGATGTGGGAAGTGTAGTGAAACATATGAGAATCTCATGGAAGAGTGCAAATGAGTTTAGAAAAAGCATATTTAATATACCTATTGATTTTTATTAACAATAAGTTAACAGAATGTAAAGATCAACATCATCTTCTTGGTAGAGAGGTCACATAGCAAATAGGGTGAAAAAAAGACTTGTTTCTGGTGTTGTCTCCAGAATTCTCCATTAAAACTAATGTATAAAAGTTTATGAAAACTGGATGTCACACTGGAACTCACAGTGGGGCCTTAGGAAAAAAGTGCTAGTCAGTTTTGATGTACAGGGGAGAGTTGGAATAGATCCATAATAAAAGGCAATCCTAGCTGGGAACCATTGTGGGAAGCCATTAGGTAGTTTAAGGGCAATGAAAGTGAACTGAACCAACACTGGGGCTTAGGAAGGAGAAACTGTGAAAGTTCAAAAAGAGAGATTTGGAAGAACATCAAAAACAAAACAAAACAAAAACCCAACCTGTTTTTAGTTCACGACTTTGTGTGAGGCTAGCTCTGTGGTTACATACTTCAATTGGAACATTCCAGGTTACTCTCAAAATTTAGAAAACAACAGAAAACTAGTACAGAAACACATCTTACAATATGTCAGTTATGTGTTTGTCAAGATTTTCCTGTATACATCCTATTTTCCTTGGTTAATAAGGAGGTATTAACAAATTCACTCCAAATGAAAATTGTTGAATGTTTTTAAAGTTGTATGCCTGTAAGTGCATTTGTAAAAGTCACATATTAATCCTTTCCCCCATTTTAAGAACACTTTTGTTTTCAAAACCTCAAAAGAAAAGCTAGGAACAACACTCGGTACAATTAGTATTTTAAAGGTAATTTTAGTCAACTGTGCACTCAAATACATACTGAGCCATAAATTTATAAACCATGTAGACAGAATTTTTATTTTTTTAAAAAAATTTCTCATAAAAAATCTTGTTGGAATTATACTCACCTAGGATAAAGTCCTGGCACTGACAACTACTGCTCTATGACCTTGAGCACCTTATTTAGTAACTCAGAGCCTCAGTTTCCTCATTTGTGAAATGTAGGTAATACAAACTAAATTTTTAGGCCATGTTAAGAATTTTAGACTTTATCTTAATGTCAGTGGGATATCTTTGAAGGGTTTTAAGCAAAGAAGCAATGCTTAATGCCGAATTTATGTTTTTAAAAGCTTCTGGATACTGGGTAGAGAATGTATTAAAAGAGAATGGGGCTAGAATGGATGTGAAAAGACAGAAGGCTAGGGCAGTGGTCTAAGCTAGAACTGTAGATGGCTTATGGTATGGTTAGTGGCAGTGGAATGGTATGCAGGAGATCCTTGGGCATAAAAATTATGTTAACTGACAGACATAAGGGGAGGGAGTTGTTAAGGATGATTCCCAGGTCTCTGGCCTGAGCAGCTGTATGGATACTGATGTCATTTACTGGGATGGGTGAGACTGATCTGTCCCTCTGGGAAGCAGGTTTGTGGTATGTGTAGCGTAGAGAGGGGGAGATCATAAGTTCATTTCTAGACAAGCTGGGTTGGAGGCACCAATGAGCCATCCATGTGGAACTCTTGAGTATGGAGTTGGCTATTCTAGAGAGTGGGACAGGGAGTTAACTGTGTTGATACACAGCTGTAGGCTCATCCAGCCTTAACCTTTCGTCAGGAGAGTGGAATGGAAAAGACACTCAGCAGGGAAGTTTATGGTACTTATTTGCAAGAGGGGGTTTTAAATGATAGGTGAAAATTATAAACTGGTTAAAAGGGGATGTGAAAACAGAGTAAGCCGATGGATAGGGAGAAAGCAGAACTACAG